TATATAAATAAAAGTTCCTGCTGTTAAACCTTAAATGATTCCTGATATTAAAGTACTTTCTCTGGCAATAATAATTCGAATCAGGATACTTATTGGTGAGAGGAAGGCACCAAATATAATGAATTTAACTTATATAGCTTTTTCAACGCTAGATACTCTAAAAGCTTCTACTAAGGCCCATCCTTCAGCCCATTTATGTCCCCTCTAAGATAATCTTAAAGCTAAGATATCAGAAGTTTGTGCCGTAACTCCAACAGCTATTCCTTTGAAAATAGCATGTAGTCCTATAGCAGCAGATAATAATTATGGTTTTAGATTATTTTAATTGTGTTTTAAAGAGTGAATTAATTTATCTGCATGTTAATGATCAAAATTTTCAAGAAGTATTGCTTAATGATGTTTTTGATGGTGATCTAATTATTACAATTCGTAAAAATTCGCAACAAGGGTTATTCTCTATATTTTTGAATAAAATCTTTTCTACAAATAGTAGTAGTGAAAATCCCATGAAAATTCATCCATGCATTCCTCTACTTCCATACAAATGGGGTTGTAATCTCGATTTTATCACACAATATTTCTTTTAATCCTAACTAAGCTGCATTTATCTTCTTTTCTTGATTTTTTTTTGCACTTCTTCAACGAAATCATCTTATATAGGTTCAAAACATATATATAAGGTTTAGAGTTCAATCTCCGTTTATGTCCTTAACCCTCATTCCTGGTGTTCTTAATATCGTCCTGTCTCTGATCTATTTCTCTATTTTCCTTTATGCTTTTTGTCTCATAGTTTAATCTTCCTGTAACCTCTATTAACTCTTTTATGATTTGATTTTTTTCCTGAGTAGGGCGGTGATCTTTCCCTATCACTTCTCTTATCTCCTTAATCATCTATGAGGATCTCTCTCTATGTATCCACATTTTCTTATGTTCTCTTTTCTCCCCTTTTTTATTAGTATTAGTTCTTCTACAATTATACGTATTTATTCTTATGTCCTTTCAAAAGAATATAATTTATTTTGAGTCAATATTGAGTTAAGTTATGAAATTGAAAGAAAATATTATTTAAGAATGGATCTTTTTATTATTTGTCTAAATATTTCCCATAATAGAATGGTCTAGATCTTGAATATGTCAAGTTTAAAATTATGTGATTGTAGTATAATGGATACATCCTACATAGAAAATAAAAATTACTGATTTTATTATGAGATAAAGAAAATTTTGATATTGAAGTTAATATCTAGAATAAAAAAATAGTCTTAATTTAGCCCTAATACTATTTGCAATTGGTTTATCTTGATTAATTCAGAATTTCGTAAATAAATTTGTGAAGATTGATTGTTTATAAATGCTTAAGATAAGATAAATATTTCTATTAAAATAGTTATTTTTAAAATTGATGATAAACTTCACTTATAGTCAGCTTTTTGTTTTATTTTGCATGTTTTACTATCTACCAACAACGACTTAATCTAATAAGTGTAATTATTATCCAAACTCTTCTATTAAATGTATAACAAATACAGAAAATGTCTAATGTAAATTACATTAAATTAAGTGATAGGTAAATATGACCTTCAAT